TCTAAACTATGGTAATGACACAACTCGTCCCTCGTAGTATGGTTCATCTCATACCTTGAATATGAAAGAATAGAAAACTATTGTATGGAAAGCATTCAACAATCACAGAAAGCCAAATACTTGAAGAAATAGTGGAAAATATATATATATGAAACTTCTAAAACACCATACAATTGTTCAGATCTTTACATAATCAAAAACCAAAAAGAAAACCTAATTACATAGCTAGAGTTTCATCAAAACCCTAAAAAAGAAGAGCCTAGCCACTCATGAATGAGTGGGAAGAGATTGAAGAGATGGAACACTCCATGGGAATTTGCTTTGAAGATTGAGAATCACCTTTTTCCAAACCCTAGCCTCCTCTTTCTCCTTCAAAATTTCAGAACCCTAATCCATCCTCCCCATACAATTGTTCAGACCTTTACATAATCAAAAACCAAAAAGAAAACCTAATTACATAGCTAGAGTTTCATCAAAACCCTAAAAAAGAAGAGCCTAGCCACTCATGGATGAGTGGGAAGAGATGGAAGAGATGGAACGCTCCATGGGAATTTGCTTTGAAGATTGAGAATCACCTTTTTCCAAACCCAAGCCTCCTCTTTCTCCTTCAAAATTTCAGAACCCTAATCCATCCTCCATTTCTTCTTTTTATACCTCTGCTGTCTTTCAAACAGGTTTAAAACAGCGGCACGATTTCTGAGGTACTGTCGCACGTGCGGGAAAAGTCAATGCACGTGCAGGAAGCACTTTTCTCCACAAGTCTTGCATTTTTGCTCATTTTATGTTCCCACTATGTACAACCTGATTGAAATTAAACATGCATAAAATATATAGTTTGACAAGCAAGTAGAGTTAAGAGATTGTAATTAACAGCCTCAGTGTTGCACAATTCAGCCTTAATCAGTCACGTGACATTTAACATCGACAAGCACAAAGAGATGGTCATATGTGATGTTTTGCCTTTTAAGCTCTGTCATATTCTTCAGGCATAGATTTGAGCTGTGATGTCACTCATGCGGTCTGTGCTAACATCTACTCTTTCATTGATGGCTCTACAGAATACACCCTTATTTGTGCCCACCGACAATGTGACAACCCTCACTACTGTTTACTGATAACACCACTAATTACTGTTAAACTGAGACTGATCATGACAAGTAATTGAATTGATTGAAATTCTGAGTTAATTGATTGAGTGTGTTAGTTTAAATGCATGTCTATCTGTTTGACTGTTAAATTATCTGTTTGTGTTTTATGTTTTAAACTACAAATTGAAGGCCTTATCGGCGGCCGAATCTGAAATTGATTAATGTTTTATGCTAATTGGAATTTATGTAATTTTATGATATATTTAGTTGAAATGTGATTTGGTATGTTTAAATTGGATTAAATAATGCTAATTTACAAGAGTTGGACTTATTCACCAAAATGCCACTTAGTGGACTTTCATGAGCCTTTTAATTGATCTCTATATGCTAGCATTACAACACTTCTTTAGCCATTTTTGAGAGCTTCAGCCGACTACAGAGAGAGAGATAGGAGAAATTGAGTTCATCTAGGCATTTAGCTTGGAGACTTGAAGATATTGAAGGTTAATTGCATAATTGAGCCTCTAAACTTGAAATTGAGGAACCTAGGTAAGGATTTCATCCTTTTAATTGTTAAATTAAGTCATATATTGCATGGTTCACGGAAGTTTAGTGAGTTGAGTCTAGAATTGGCTTAATGAGTTGAATTGAAGCTTAAATAATGCATGCATGTGCATATCTTGAAGTTTAGAGTTGTTTTCATGGAAATTATTGCATGCATGTCCATATTTGGGTTATAGTCCATGAATTCATCATGTTTGGGAGTGAATTAACTCATTTGATCATGCTTTGGAAGCTTTGAAGTTGATTAAATTCATGCATGTGTTGAATTTGCATTGTTCTTCATGTTCTTGAAGTTTATTTGAAAATGGTGTTTAATTGACTCAGCCTTGGGCTTTGATTTTACAAATTGATCTTCAAAACATGTTATATTATGGGTTTAAAGTGTTTTCCAGAAAATGGGCCCAAGAGGTTGAGTTTTGATGCATTAAAGTTGAGTTTTGAGCTTGAGGTTCAAATCTGGAAATTCCAGATTTTGGACTCACGCTCGAGCGAGGAACTCCACGCTCGAGCATACGCCTCGTGTTCATGCAGTCCGCTCGAGCGTAGAAAGTGACGCTCAAGCGTGAAATGCGTGTATCCAGTACTTTGCATGTTTTTATAGTCCGCTCGAGCGAGAGAGTTCACTCGAGCGAGGACTTGTGTCTCACGCTCGAGCGTGGATCGAGCTCCCATCGAGCGTGATTTTTGTGCATCCAATATTTTTACTGTAGCTTACAGTCCGCTCGAGCGATGGAAGTCACGCTCGAGCGGAGCTCCTTTGTCTGCATGTCCGCTCGAGCGTAGAAAGCCACGCTCGAGCGAGACCCTTGTTTTTTGAAAATTCTTAAAAGTGTTTTAAAGTGCATCTTTGCATCCTCATTCCATCCTAGGCACTCTTAGGCCTAGTTTAAGGCATCTTAATGAGGATATTGATGTAGAACCACACCGAGGCAAATTAGGGATTAAGTTATTATTTTCCAACTGTGTAGCTTAGTGTGTGTTCGTTCTTTAACTGTGTAGGGTTGGCATCCGAGGACGCGTACTAGCTTATCTGTAGCCTAGAACTCTATGAGTAACAATGTTGTAAAGATATGTTCAATTGAGATTATCTTCTGAACAAATGACTATACTGCATTATGAAATGACACTGTTTACTGAATGAATGTTTTTCTTATTTGTGAACTATATTCGTGGCATCCATAGCAATTTACTGTTAATGAACTGTTACTGCTACTGTTACAGAGATCTCTGTCGGTTCCTATGTTTGGAACCACTACTGTTTACTGATATGATGGCCATCATTGACTGCTCGGTCTGTTAAGACCTACTGTACTGTTTTGCTATTGGATGTACCACATATGACTATCATAGTTTCTGAATGACTGTTATGGCATGAATTATGAGCCACAAACTGATTGACTGTTATACTGATAAATGACTGTTTTCAATACTGAGAGGACATTCATTCTTAACCTCTTTACGCATATGTTATTCACTGGGCTTTAGCTTACTGTTTATATATATATGTAGGTGTTCAAGCACCGGACTGGAGTTAGGAGCGTCGGATTAGCTCTTGTTTTGTCAAGCCAACCATCGTGCCTCACCTTAAGGTTCGAAGTGTTGCCAAGCTAAGGCTGTTTCGGGGTGTTTTAGATTTTCCCCCTTTCTGTCTCTATATTGTATAGACTGAATAGACTCGTACTGTACTGTTATGGTAGGGATTTGGTCCCTAACCCAAATGTTTGTATATGTATGTATGGTACTGTTTTGTTCTGAATATGAATATGTTTAAAAAAAAAAAAGAAAAGTATTTTCGCATGCAAACTGTCACAGCTCATTGGACATCTTTTAATTACTTTTTTGGCTTCCGCCAGCCCCTGTACTCTGTATTACTGTCTTACTGTTAAGCAGGCCTTTGGTAATCTCGGATTACTAGCCGGTTACGGTGCTAAACCCATAGGGACGGGTTTGGGTCATGACAGACAACTCCTTGTTCTGATGGAATTCTTGGTCGGTCTGCTAACTTGCTGGAATTGAGTTCTTTTTAATGTAGGAGAATTGATGGTGCAACCTTAACTCTTTGGAGGCCCATTATCCGCTTTGGAAGCCTAAGGTGAAGCCTGTGGTTCCATTGTGTGGACAGAAGAATTTTTTGGGCCAATAAATGTAATTGGTAAATTACATTATTATTTAGACAAATATTAGTAAGGAATTTTGATTTTGTTTCCAATATTTTAGGAACTAGTTTCTTAATATAATTAGGGTTTTGGCACAAAGAGTAATGTTTTCATTTCTTCGTTGAGATTGAAATGAGATATCTGTTGTGGCCAATTCGTTTCTCTCTTCCCCTAAACCATTCTACATTGTCCTGTCCTGGCATGAAAGTTTCAGCATGCATAAGCAGTTGAATTTAAATACTGCCACATAGTTATTCAACTCAGTAGTCTTGTGTAATTGTTCTTCCAATTGTATGTGGTTGCCCCAACTCAGCAGTCTTATGTAATCTGTTATGCTGATGGAAATTGTACAGTTTTGTTAAATAAAAAAACGATGGAAGAGAGAATCTAATGAGATGCAGCTTTATATCAAAAAACAGTTTCAGGGGAGACGGGAAAAATATTCCTTCCTTTTTTTTTTGTGTCAAACTCCCCATCAATTCTAAAACATAAAAAATTGAAAGGATTTAGAACAAAGATGCTTCACTTTCTACTATGCTTCAATTGTTTTGGATGGAATTCACCACTCCTATTTGAAGGTTACAATCCTTGATTTTGCATTTGTACTTCTGCTGAATTCTATTATATTTCATATGCTGGACAAACTTTTCAAGCTAGAATCTGCTTACTTTTCCAGATGGATTCAGGAGCTGTCTATCTGTCTTTGATCCAATTTTTGGATTTTTAGAGGCCTTTGAGTAGACATTTGATATATAGATGGTATAGATCCTATTGTACAAGGGTTGCACCCCCTTGGTGCCTCTTTTAATGTAATTTTATATAAAAATAAAAAATAAAAAATAAAAATTCTTAGTTCCTTATGGTCTCCCATATGCATTTGAGCTGCTAATGGCAGTATGAAAACAATATTCACGTGTTTTGCAGCTTCTGCCAAATTATGATTCACTTTTGATATATGTAGAAGGTGAAAACATGAATGGATATTTCTTTATATTTATTGGGGAACAGATTCAATTAATCCCTCATATCTCTTCACAAATTACATGTTTTCCTTTAAAAAAACCCATCACGCTCAACTGCTTTTGGTGGTTGGAATCTGTTTGGGTTATCTAAGCAACTGTTTTGATATTTGTTCTAACCATCTCTTTGTTCTGTTCCCAGATTTGATGGCAACATAACATCTGCCGGACGCATCACCATTCAATCATTCTGTGCGCCACAATGTTAATATTCCAATATGGTTAGTGGCAAAGAGATGGGAGATTCTATTTCCATGTGCCAATTTTTCTCAATTCACACATTTTATTAGTTCACACACTTAAAAATTTTCACACCCTTAGATTTAGAAACTTAGTACTGAATGAAAACCCATGGTTCAGATATGAACTAGTGACAGAAAATGGTCTGGTTATGAACTACTGAATGAAAAGAAATGCGGTGTGTACTAATGTCCTTTGTAGTGTGGAAACAGAAATGGTGTGGGGAAACAGAATGACCCTGAAGAGATTCTGGTGGCATTGTTAATAGTCTCTTATACCCTTTTCTCTTTCTAAAATGTCTTCTTTTACTTAAATAGGCTTAAACCTGCTTGGTTATGCTTTGCTAATCGAAATCCTAGTGATTGGCTTCTACCACTTGTTCTAGCGGCTGCTGCTGCTATCGCAATAAGCATTATCAATGTCTTTTTTCGCACATAAGCATTGTAGGAATGGGAAATGCTTTCCTTTATCAGATCTTTGAAAAGCATGGTTCGGTCTTCAAATACAGTTGCTCTTATAACCTTTCCACCATCCCTTGTTTCACCATCCATTGCAAAGAGATGGCAGCATTTGGCTGACACCTTACTATCCGTCAGAGCAATTCCAGGTATGCCATTGGCTTAGTAGCATTGTTAAGTTTACTATCTGAATGTTAATCCTTAAACCGGGGTTTGTATCAGATGAGGACAAGGAGTTCGCAAACCTTCTCACTGGTTATCAGGACATGGTTGGCCTTCTCAATGTGCACAAAGTGGCCCGTCTTAACACCCAGGTAGGAGATGAGTGTGTTTTGCACTAGTGCTGTCTTCTACTTCATATGTTATTTTCTATTATCTCATTTTACTCATTGACAACTGTACGAGCGCAAAATAATACAATTTTTTACCCACAAAATCTTGGATCTGCAGAATAATTAATTTAATCTGTTGGGAAATTATCTACTTCAATTGCAGTTGGTTGATTCAAACTTATCCACAGGTTCCAGTTATTCTGGAGGCAACAACAATCTCAATGAAGCTGAAAAAGCGGAGGCCATTGGTTTTAGAATGTCTAAATCAAGCCCCCATAGATAAGTGGGAGTTCTTATGGCACGTCTGGTAGCTGTTCTGGGTCGTCTAAGACAAGGAGACTTGATTTTTAACTGCTTTGTCACATGGCTATTATGTAAATGTGGTCAAAATCAAAATGCAGGAACCTCCCTAAATATGCATGTAACAAGGTTGATTTTATATTTCTATATTTGATTGAATTCTTTTGACCTTGCGCCAGCTTTTACCATATGGTCATGTGAAGTTGGTGAAACAAGTTCAGTCGTGCAGGAAAAATGAGGATCTATAACATTGATTGGATTCTTTTCTTTCCCATCCTATCTCATCCCATCCCATGTGCTGGGACTGAACGAAAGCTATGAAGAAGCCAGCTGATCAAATAGGATATTCAAAGTCTTGGTTCCTTCAGTATTTGCATATTATGTGTCACTACAACTGCAATACAGTTCTAAAATTATGAAAAAACCTTGGTAAACTTTAGTTGGTTTTATTTATTTATTTTTTGAGGAAATTCTAGTTGTGAATTGGGATGAGCAATATAACATTTTTTACATTATGTGCTTGATACGAGTTTAAAGTGGATTTTCTGTTGGTTCATACATTCTTTTCAGATTTTAATGTCTTTGGCTGATCCCCACTTAGAGCATCCCAAGAGGCTATTTGACATACGCTTGCTGGCTATTATAACTAGTATCATTCTATTTAACTCTCTCCAATGAACTAGTTAGAACAATAGTGATTTTAACAAAAAAATTTCAATTTAGTTACATTTGAAGAGCATTGGGAGCCTTCTTAAACAATTTGTGCAGATAGATAAAATAAAAATGTTATCAAATTGGTGTTGCATCTCAGGTCTCAACTACAAATGCAGCCACTCTGTCAATGGCTTCGAATATTTGCAAAATATTTTGGAAGTCAATGAAATTGTTGTAAATAATAGATAACTCAATTGTCACTAGTCTATTTTGTTTTTTTAGGCAAAAAAATTGTTGCCAAATGGCAACTTAATTGACTATTTGAGTCTGGTTAAAAAATTTGTGTTTGGGAAGATAATTAATTTTTTTTGTAGTTGATTTAATAGTTGTGAGAAAAAATAAAATGATTATAATTTAAATGTGATATTTTGTTCTATTAACTATTTTAACCTATTTTGGCCTATTTTGAGAAGTAAGAAAAAAGTCAATTTTTTAGATTTTTTTTTTTTGAAAAAATATTTAAAAAAATAAAAAAGTGATATGATCCAAATTAATCAATAAGCCAACTTTTTTTTTTTTTTCTAGTTGTCAAAATAAGCTTTTATCTTTAGCCAAAAACTTCCTTCCCAAATGACTCTTTTTTTTCCTTATTCAACTCTTATATTTGAGGAAGTTAATAAAGATTATGTTGAAAATGATTTTTAATTGGATAGTGAGGGTGATGGTTACTTTTGGGTACAACTAACTTAAATAAAATTATTATATCTACCTCCCTTGAGGTTTTGCATAATTGCAGGGACTTGTAATTTAAAAATTACACTAATTTTTCTTATTTTTTCTAACAGTATATAAGACCTCCATTCTGTGAAATCAACAATTAAAATGTTGACAGAATCTTATGATATCAGCACATTTGGGCCTCCAAGTACCAAGAATACCTTTGTAGATACCAATGCCAACCTATACAAACCCCTTATTACTACCCCTAGCCACTATATCACAATAAGAATTCAAGCATAAAAAATGGAACCCCAAACATTGACATTGTTGCCTACGGATGCAAACATGGTTAATTTGATTACGTAGGAGTGAAGACTTAAGTATATCTTTTTGGGTAATGCTTCGCACGCACTCTTTACATAATGTCAAGCAGTGAAGTCAACTATTTTGTAGCAATGCATTTGAGATCTTCAAAAGTGCACTTAAAAATTAACCTGGGCTGGGAGACACAGGATGTAACCAGTAGAAAAGATGTTCCGACATTGGTAACAAAAAAGCCTGACATTACAAAAAAAAATAAAGACAGTAGACAACTTAATAGTCTCCCATATCGGTGACCATGTCACCACAACAAACTAAATTCAGAAAGCATGAGGGTAAAGATTAGGCAGCTTTCAGTGTGTTTCCAATGTCAATTACAAACCGGTACTTAACATCAGCTTTGGCAAGACGCTCCATAGCAGTGTTCATGTAGTCCGTTGGGATGACCTCAATGTCCACAGTTATGTTGTGTTTTCCTGCAAAATCAATCATTTCTTGTGTCTCCGTCATACCCCCAATGTTACTTCCAGCTACTATTTTCCTCCCTATCATTCCGAATCCCATATTAGCTAACATTTATTTAAACAGTAGAAAGGATCAAAGGGATATATATACGCATTTCAACATATATAAAATAAAGTACAGGGCCACACTATCTAAGCCAAGCAATAATTTTTCTGCTTTCTTTGTGTAGAACAAAAACACTACCAGCCTAATAACCTAAATGTGGAATGCAATGCCTCTATTGCTTAGGTAAAATATATGTTTTGCTATTTATTAAAGCAATCTCAAATGCTTACCCATAAGCAAAGGAAAGGCTGGTAATTCAAATGGCTTTTCTGGTGCACCAACCAAGACAAGCTTTCCATGAGACTTTAACAGACCAAGCAATGGTAGTAAAGAGTGAACTGCAGAGACTGTCAATAATTCCATCCAAAGTGCCCATAGCAGCCTATATAACTCAACATATCAGTAAACACTCAAGAATCTCCATGAAGTTATAATATCATATATAAGGGAGGAAAAATGGTTACCTGCATCTCATTAGGGTCAGTGCTAATCAGAAATGAATCCGCACCAAGATGTTCAATAGCTTCCTTCTTCTTGCGAGGGGAGGTACTGATCACAGTGACTTTAAGCCCAAAAGCCTTGGCAAACTTCACAGCTACATGGCCCAGCCCACCTAGACCCACCACGCCCAAATTCAGACCAGGCTTATCAAGTCCAAAATATCTTAGGGGGCTATAAGTTGTGATCCCAGCGCAAAGGAGAGGAGCACATGCATCAAGAGGCAGATTGTCAGGAATCCGAACCACATAGCGCTCAGTAGCAACCATGTGATCAGAATAGCCTCCATATGTCATGGTTCCGTCATAGTATATGGAGTTGTAGGTGAGAATCACTTTTGGACAGTAATTTTCAAGGTCGTTCTTGCAGCTGTCACATGAGTGGCACGCTCCAACCATGCAACCAACACCAACTTTGTCTCCAACTTTGAACTTTTGTACCTTGCTACCCACCTCTGTCACTACACAATCTCATGCCTACATATATAAATTGTATTCACACACATATATTGAACTGTGATTAAATGAGCTATTAGAAATTTAAAATCAAAACATCTTTCCAGGTGTAATTAAAGGAGTAGGATAAAAAATCAATGTGGTAACATTGACATCTTAATGTGAACCAGAGTGAAAAATGGGTGTAGATTTATTAACAATGGCAGAGCCAGAAAAATCAAGAAGTGCAAATTTTATATTTAATTTAGATATAAAAGCAATATATATATATGTGTGTGTGTGTGTGTGGGCATGTATCCCTTTGAAGAACTGGTAAATTATCCGGTCAGGAATCTGTTAAATCTGACAGAGGCATTCATCTTGATTAAAAATGTGTCTAATTTCTTCATTACAGATTATTTGTGGTATCAAATTTCAATTCGATAGCACCCATTAAACTATTACTTTTCTGACATAAGACGCATGAAAAAATGAAAAATGAATAAACATGCCCTTTCCAAAATTGATAACTAGTTTTTTTTCGCTTCTTCTATGCCCTCCTTCCAATTCGATTACACATGGGAAAAATAAGATCCATGAATAAGCATTGCATCTGAATTCCTAGTGCTCTCCACAAGTAATAGTGACAAAGGTATGTTGAGTTGAGTGTATGAGAGAGCACCATTTTCTTGACAAATTCTTTTCAGTTATAGGACAAGTTTGCATACACAACTACACAATTAAGTACACTTGTTGAATTACACCAATAAATCTCGAATTATCAGTTCTAATTTCTATATAATTCTGCTGACTGTATCAGCAATTTAAATATGAAGAGACTAATACAAGGATCAACATCAAAATCCTCCAAAGCACAAACTAATACACTCCAAGAAATATATTACAGGGGTTTTTGGAAACATGCCCGGGGACAAGGGGGTACTTGGAGATGTCCCATTCGTTCTTAACACAGTGAAGATCGGAATGGCAGATTCCACAGCACAGAATTTTGAACCTAACATCTTCATCCCCTGTCGATGTCCCATTCGTTCTTAACACAGTGAAGATCGGAATGGCAGATTCCACAGCACAGAATTTTGAACCTAACATCTTCATCCCCTGTCGCCATGCAACCATCATCGTCAACATCATCATATCCATCACTGTCAGCATCCTCCACAACAATAAAACCCAAACTACTATTGTTTGGATTGCAGGATGAGAAAAAGAAAATGAATGATTGTTGTCTTTCATCTAAATGACCAAAAAAAAACTACGTATTGTCTCACTATTATATTTATCAGTCCCGCTACATCCTCTAATTGAGGCCTCTAATTCCACCCCAATGACGTGATCCCATACTTCTCTCTCCCATTTTAACCCCTCTAATTCCACACATCTTTTAACTCCTCTAATTCCACATCATTGGGTGAAATTGGGGACACAATTAGGAGATGAATCATTTTTTAATATTTAAATTGGAATATGGGTGACATTTTTTTTCGTTATATGTTTTGTATTTTAAAGGGCAGTTTGAAGCTTGGTTTGGCATTGGTTAATATAATTAACTTTTTTGTGTTTGAACTTTTTTAGTCTCGTTTGGTTTAAATTTTTTGAATTTTTTGATTTTTATGAGAGAAAAAACGTAATAATTATGAATTGAATATGATATTTTAACTTATTAAATTATTTAACTTATTTTGTCATTTTGTACTTTTTCCCAAGATGATAGCCAAACCAGGCTGATAATTTATAAACAGAGTATTATGAAGGGTTCTCTTTCTTA